TTTAAAGCTGTCTTTATTTTAGAGCTATCTTTCACTGAGATGTTTGTAAACATTATTTGACGGACACAGCATTTCAGGACAGAAGTAGACCCTATAGAGCTCCCTTTGTTAGAGATGAGAAAATTGAGGCTCTCTAGAGGGTCAACGACTGCTTGATGCTGCAGAACAGTAAATGCTAAGGCAAGAGAAACACTGACAAAATAACCTACCTTCTTCATAGCACTTTACACACATTTACTTCTGTGTTAATTGCCTCCTTTACTCTGTGAAGCCAGGGATATTGCCAGTGTGTGTGCCTCTCTCTCTCTCTCTGTGTGTGTGTGTTTTGTTCCCTGCTGTTTCCCTGTTGTACCACTTACAACAGGATAGTCAGTACTCAATACGTATTTGTTAAATAAATAAAAGGGTGATTAGGGGACAATACAGGCTGTAGTGCTTTTAGAATTTGATGTCAGGCCATCTGTGTTTGCTGGCTCAGTAAAAAAAGACTTTCCCCCACCAGGTAGAACTTGACCTATATGTTAGAGGATAAGTATAGATAAAGGATCTGTATATTTGGGGTTATGGAGGGTGTGGTTGTGCTAGGTAAGGGTTACTGTGAACCATTTCCCAGCGAAATTTTACCCACTTCCAGCAATTGTAAATACACACATACATGCACTCACATACACACACTCACACACATACCATGCACATATGTATTTTACTATTCTATAGAACATCTTTTTTTTAAAAGATATATTTATTTCGTGTACAAGAACTGGGGTGCAGGCCAGAGATGCGGGGGATGAGAGGATCACCAGTGACAGAGCGGGGAGCAGAACAGGCAGACTGACTGAAATACACTGCTGAGGGGAGCAGTGGGCAAGACAGGAGAGGTCTGCTGCACCATGTGGGTAACTCCCTGGCCAGCCGGGGATCGAACTCATACTGCAGAGGCTGCAGATTGCTTCATAGTGTGGTGCTTTAACCCCTTATGCCACCAGGGAGGCCCTTTATAGAACATCTTACACGTTCTATATCAAGTCATTCTGAGACACAGCATCATATGTTCTCAGTCTAAATTAAGATAGTTTTTGGTATATAGATTTAATTATATCACTTCAAATCAGATTTTTATCATCATGAAGTTGCATGGACATTTGCATCTTTGATAGCGCAAACAGTGGATCTTGTGTTCTCAGACTGATAGTTTATAAGTTTACATGCTTTTAAAATTTACATCTTTATTTCTGTTTCAGTTAACACAGTAAGCTGGTTCTCACGCTCCTTTTGTTAAAGGCAGTCTAGGGAGATGCAAGTTGGATAGCCAGAATATGAGAACTAAATGTACTTTTTAATAGACTCAGAATTAATACTTTGCAGTGGGATACAGAATCCCTTTTCTGTCTTTATCCAGTGAAGCATATATTATTGGGTGAATTATATCAATAAAAGAAACTCGTCTCCAAACATTTAGCCTCCACTAAGTACCAAGCTCCTCAAGGTTCTTTCATTAGTATTTTCTATCATTTCTTATGGGAAAATTTTCTTTTATGATATCTCCAAATGCCACTTCCAAGATGCCACATCATTATATTGTCAATGAGACACTTTTTCGATCATAGTTTTTTAATGTCTCTCAAAGTTTTAATTTCTCCTTCAATTACATCCCCGTCAACAAATGAATCTATCTTAGTCCTAGTATTTCTTCTGCTCATTAGTAATATATGTGAACTTGTTCTTAGGAATTCCTAGTTGTCAGATGTGTATATGTGTGTGTGTGTGTGTGTGTGTGTGTATAATGTTATCGTCTGTGGTAAGTACTGGCACTTAGGAGGCTCACAGCGTGATAATGGAGAACACACTCGGGGCAGCCCTGCTCTGTCACGTCTACCCTCTGAGATCAGCAATCTCCTTTTAAGTTCTTCTCTCAAACCTTAATCCTGGAAACACTATCGCATCCTGAAATGGCTGTCTCTCTGTTTAAAAGTAAACTGAGGCCGTGTCTTCCTCTCAGGCACAAGAAAAGCTTTTCATTTAGAGGCGGAACAATGCTAGCTTTTTATCTTTCTCCTTCTGACTTATTTCACTTAGCATTACCCTTTCAATCTCCATCCATGTTGCCACAAATGACATGAGCTTATCTCTTTTGGTTGCTTGGCGATATTCCATCGTGTGCATATACCACATCTTCTTGACGCACTCATCTATTCTTGGGTACTTGAGTTGTTTCTATAATTTAAATATAGTAAGAAGCACGGCAATAAACATGGGGGTGCAAGTTTTCCTTTCAAATTTATGTTTTTGAATTTTGGGGTAGGTACCTATGAGTGGAATTACTGGGTTGAGTGGCAGATCCATTTTGAATGTTTTGAGACACCTCCATACTGCTTTCCATAAGGGCTGGGCCAGTTGCATTCCCCAGCAGTGTAGGAGGGTTCCTTGAGTTCTTAGTATATCTTTGATATCAGTCCTCTGTCAGGTATATGGTGTGCAAGTATTCCTTCCCATTCAGTAAGATATCTTTTCATTTTAATTACTGTTTCTTTCACTCTATAGAAGCTTTTATTTGACAATTAAAACAGCCTGGTATTGGACCAAAAATAGATACACACACAAATGGTATAGAATTGAGAGCGGGGACAAAATAATATGGTTCCTTGTTTTTGAGGCAAAGAAAGAGAATTTGGAAAGTCCGTATGACCTTGTCAAGGGAAGACAGGGCCAACATGCCTGGGTCTTCTCTAAAGTTACATGGGGAAGGGTATTTCTTTGCAATAAGTCATTTCCTGAAGCACAAAAGGGTTGGCTAGGAGAGGGATCTTCCTTGATCATTGCTGTTTTTCCCAGGACCTCAGAGCTTTAGTAAAATTTAGCATGGTTGTACATAACTGAAGCCTATGCATCTCCCGTAACTCATCACTGCAATGACTCTTGCTGAGACCACCAGCCAACTCCAGTGACTCCTAAAGACATTGACTTCTGGGAAGTCATTACCCACCACAGTTCCCTGTTGAAAGGCTTCCTTCTCTAGTTCATAAGTGGTTTCCTCTTACTTCTTTGGTTGCTCCTTCCTCTTTCAGGTTCTATTCCCCTCCCTCCTTTTGACTCCCAAATATTAAAAATCCCCAGGGTTTGGTCCTGTGCCTTCCTTTCATAGCTCTTCACACCTTCATTCACACTTTGATTATCAATGCCCCTCCACGCTGACGACTTCTACAGGCATGTGTCCAGTCCCAGGCCCATGTGAACACTAAATGTGGCATTCGGTTACTGCCTCGACATACAGATTCCTCAAAACCATCCTCCCAAAGGCAGACTATACTCCCCTCCCCAAATCACCCCCATCTTCCATGTCTATTTCCATAAATGGCATCATCAGCTATAACTCTCTGTGTTTCTCTATATGTGGTTGGGCGCTTGGTAAGTGGAAAAATTGGAAATTATAAGACAGTGAATTATTTTACAGTGGTTTTGCTAAACCATAGTCTCCAGAAAACCATATGATATTTGCAAGTAGTGATTGAATCAGTTGCTTTAACTGGTTTTCTCAAAGGCTGAGAGTTCTTTTTGAAGATGAAAAACATATGAGTAGGTTTTCTCATAGACCCTGCATCATTTTTTGGGGGCAGCCATAAGAAAACACCACAAATCGGCGGGCATAGACAACAAAAATTTTTTTCCTCACAGTACTGAAGGTTGGAAGTCTAAGGTCAAGACGTAGGTAGTGGGGGTTTCCCCGGAGGCCCCTCTCTCTGTGGCTTGCAGCTGGCTGCCTGCTTTCAGCCTCTTCACACGATTGTTCTGTGAACACACTCTCCTTGGTTATTCTTAACAGTCCAGACTGATTTAGATCTATTCTGACTCTCCTGATGCCAATTTATCAATTTCTTTATACTTTAATCTACTGTCCAAGATAACCATTAATCCTCACCACATTAATTTAGGGGACTGAGCAGCCTCTAAAATACACAGCATCGAACTGAATTATCAAACTTGGGGTGTTAGATATGTGCTTTGAACACGCCGATGATTTTCATCCTACAAATCAGATAGAGGAAACTTCTATTAGACCGAAATAGGCAAGGGAACTAAACTTCCCACCACATTTTAAAAAATGACATGCCCATAAACCCCCAGTTTCACTTCACTTTAAAGCTGTCAGCAGGCTTGTCCACATCAGAGATGCAGTCTCAGGAGAGGTGAGTGTGTTGCATGTCATCGTTTCCTGCAGCGTACTTAAATACAGCCTTACCCCTACTTTATAAACTAGAGTTTGCATAAAAGGGGAAGTAGCTGCATCAGGCAAGCTTCCCCATAACAACGCTGCATAACAAATCACCACAGAAGCTCAGTGGCATAAAACAGAAAGCATTTACTGTCAGCCTTGCCCGTCTGGGGGTCCTCTGGGCAGGTTCTCCTTCAGGCTGCAGGTTTATGGGAAGCTGGGGGAGATCTGCTCCATGTCTCTTATTCTGGGCACAAAAGCTGGGGAGACAGCAGTTACCTGGGATACAACTTTCAATTGGTAGTGGACAGAAGCTCCTAGAGGGACAAATGAAATACCTGGTGAGACTGAGGTTCTGACCTGTGCACTGTCACTTCCACTGGCCAAAGCAAGACAATACCATCAACATGAAAACCTGGAGAGACTCATGAGCACTGCCCACCCAGCGGCCATCACCCAAACCTCCAGAGTAGTAAAGAACTGGGACCAACTGCCCCCCAGAAGGGTAGTTGCTTCTGGAAATAAAATAAAAGCTTCCCCAGACACTTAATAGGCCAGGTGACATGGTCTGGTGATATTCAGTGATTAAACTGGAATGTCTTGATTGTGTTTCTTGAATTATCTGAGACTGGGGAAACTCAGATTTTTTTTTTTTTAATGTGTTTACTTGAAGTAGTAATCTAGAGTTTCATTAAAAAATATGTATCTCCAACTATAGTTTGATCATTGGATCTTTCTGTGCCAAGTTCTCCCCCTTTCAGTGTCTATTAACGGGCTTCTTTGAATTCAGCCCCGAGGTGCTGAAGAGTGAGCCTTATGGAGAGAAGGCGGACGTCTGGGCTGCTGGCTGCATCCTCTATCAGATGGCCACGCTGAACCCACCCTTCTACAGCACCAACATGCTCTCCCTGGCCACAAAAGTAAGCAACCTTGGGAGGCTAAAGGGTCTCCTGTGGCGAAAACCATCCCTTTTCTTCTTAACTAGAACTTTAGTGATAAAATTAGAAGCGGGCATTGATTTATTAGCCACACGATCAATTGTTTTTGCCCCCTTTCTTCTGACTATATATCATGGCTGTGGCACCTCTTCCCCTATAATTGTCTTCATTTATCATAGAAAATTATAAAGCTCAGTCTATCACATTCCTTTTGGTCTTTTCTTTTTAACTGTGGTTGGAAACTACCTGCAAGCCTGCATGTCATATTATCCTACACATCATTTACGATGAATCTGAGGCTAGCTTGAAATTAGCCTGATGAATACAATTCCATGTTCAAGAACTATTTCATTGATGTTGATGTTTTATTCAGTTGGGTGTTTTTGTTTCTGATTAAAATGTGTACGTGAAGTTACAACATTTACTGAGCTACTCATCTTTGTGTTTACCACTAAAGATGCCAGGGTTCCCTTTAGTTCTTTTATGGGAGTCTGTTTGTTTTGCAGATAGTGGAGGCGGTCTATGAACCAGTGCCAGAAGGCATCTACTCCGAGAAAGTGACAGATACCATCAGCAGGTAACTGATTAGTTTCACAATTTCTAACATACAGGGATTATCAAGAAACACCCCACACCTCCCCCCCAGTTCCCTTAAAACTCAGTTCAGTGTCTTTCCTAGATCCTAGCACCATCTCAATGGAATGTAACAGCTGTAACATGTGGCTGCGCCCCCGCCTGTGGTTTCTCTTCCCAGCCCATTGTTTTTCACTTAGGGGGACCCCTCACGCTTGTAGGATTATAGCTTGAATCTCCTTGTGCAACCCGGGGGTGAGTTTCACTGACTGTGGACTCTGAACAAGCAACTTGACCATTCCCTCTGCATCTTTGTTTCCTCATCCAGTACAATGGGGCTTGTACTACAGCACCATGGGGCAGGCGTGCTGATTACACTGACGCATGCAAATCACTTAACATAGGCGAGAACCCACAATTTAGTTTTATAATTGCATATTAAGGTCACGCCATGCATTCTATAGCAGATATTTTTTTTCACTTCACGTTATTTAAGATTCATTATCTAGGCTCACATCACAAAATTTTTCTCTCTGGAAAATTTGGCTTATAACCAAAATCAGTCATGAGTTCCATGCGCTCGCATATTTCACTCGCTTTGGATTTTTAGTTACCGAAAAAATGAAGTTCCCAAAGAATTAGGGCACAGATTCCAATTTCCCACTTTTTCTTAGTTTCTCACTTTCTTCCGGAAATGGATACAAGGGATACATACAGACAAAGGGCTCTTAGTGGTGGTTTATGACTCAGCACATGAGGCTCCAAGCCAGTCACCAGCCGTGGGATAGGGCCTTTGACATGTCGGACCGCAGAGAGGGAAAGGCTTGCTGGGCTCTGTCTTTGGCGTTGTTTCCACGTGTGTCTTCTCTCTTTTGTTTTGCTGTTGTTTCACTTTCACTTTCTGGCACCTTCTCGGGGAGAGCTAGCGCAGTGTGTACCTCTCAGTCGACGTCTCCCCGCTGCCCGCCTGCTCATGTAGTGGACGAGCAGGTGACACATTTTGTCATTGGAATTTTTCTTTCCTAGCAGGCTTTTAAGCTGGAATACTGCTCTAGCCACCCTGAAGCGTTTGGGGCAGAAAATAAATGCATTTTGTTGCCCTGCCCAGTGCCAGCGTTACTATTTTTACGTTTCCGTGCACTGGTAAGAGAGTATTGCCTGTTTACTTTCTAAAAAGGAAAAATGCTTCCTTTTATGAACAAAATATTTCAGTCACCTTATTTTTCTCTGCGCCTGGTTGCATAAGCTGTCTGGAGCTTGGTTCCAGAGGCAGTCGGGACAGTTAACAAAGTTCATGCTTCTAGCTTGTTCTAAGGGCTGGTGGATCTTCACATTTTCCACCCTACCTTAAACTCTTTGCTTCTGAAAACATGACATGAATACAACAGAACATCCTGTCACCCTATTCTTTCCATCTGGTCTCTCGGAGTGGGAGCAAAAGTCAGCACCTTGGGTACGAATCTGTCCTTGCCACTCCAGGCTTCCCGCGCTATGATCAGTCACAGGCTCCTGCCCTCAAACAGTCCTGTGCTTGGGATCAAGGCTCTGCCTTTGAGGTCCTGAAGGTCTTCATGATTTGATCTTTGAAACTGTGTTTTGGACGTGATATCTCATTGGATAAGGTGCATGGGTTGGGGCTTGAAACTTTAGTTCATGTGTAGTCCCTTGGGTTCCCACCTCTTGTTATGAGTTCTCAGGCATCTAACCCCAACCCCCTGTGTCCTGCCTGGTGTCCAGCTCTGTCTTTCTGTCCCATTCCTGCTGCTGCCCTCTGCCTGTTTTGGCTGTGTCAGCAACAAATGCAAGTGAGGAAAGGGTCAGGCTGGAGCTTGGGCCTTGCTGCATCCTGGGGCAGGCAAGGGGAGTAAAAATAAGGCTGTTTCTGCCCAGACTCACAGCACCGTGCTGTGTTTGATGGGCAAATCAGTGGGGGTCTCTTGCCCACCTCCAGTTTGGGTGCCAAATCTGTGGGTATGGAGGTTGCAATCTCTGGGGGAGCTCCTATTTACCATCAGCAGGGACAGAGAGATTGACGTCTCAGTTCCCTGTAGGGCCCCATATTTGCAGGGGCACCCCAAATGATATAGCTGGCTCTATTTCTGCAATCTCCTACCTTAATTCGTAAACATAAACATTCAGCAGATATGTAAGTGGATGTTGTAACAAGAGGGCAAACCCACTGCTTTAGAAGTTAAAAAGAAATAGCATGAAAATAATGCATAAAATGGGAATGTCTTAAAAACTGATCAAATTAGTTCAATCCCTGTGGAAGAGTGTACAGAGGCTTCTCAAAATATTAAAAATAGATCTGCCATATGACCTAGTAATTCCGCTCCTGGTTGTCTAACTGAAGAATGCAAAAAGACTAATTTGAAGGGATATTGTACTCCTACGTTTAGCACTATTTATAGCACTATTTGCAACAGTCAAGTTATGGAAGCCACCTGAATGTCCCAGAACAAATGAGTAGACTAGGACAATGTGCACATATACACAAGGGCAGACTACTCAGTTATAAAAACAAAAACAAAAACACAGCAGTTGAACTTTGCCTTTTGTGAGAACATGGAGGGAACTGGAAGGGATTATGGTAAGCAAAATAAATCAGAAGAAGAAAGCCAAATCCTGGATGGTTTCATTTTTATGTGGAATATAGAGAAATAAGACAAAAGGTCAGACAGAACTAAGTCAATAACAAACCTTAGAAGTTTGATTGTAGAACTGAGATGATGGGGGTGGACAGAGGTAAGAGCAGGATGTGTGAGAGGGCCTATGGACTATTGTGGAGAATTATGGGTGCCCTAGTGGTGGTGGGTGTGATGTGGCAACATACATCTGAAGAGGTGGGATCCTGAAACCCTGAATTATATTCAGTGTTGTAAACCAATGTTCCCTTAAAAAAAAAGTGGTGTTTGTTTACTCACATTTATAAATTCAACAAAAAAGAATGAACAGCAAATTAATGAACTAGAGTCTTATTTTTACTTCTGTTTTGAAGAATAATTGTGAGCTATAATTCTTAATTCTTTCCTAGAGACATCGGTATAGGTAAAAGTTGCCCTAATGATAGTTACTAAATCAAGCACAATATGTGAAAATTAGATCTTTTTCTGCAAGTCCAACCAAGTTAAATTTTGTTGAGAAGCAAACCTGACTTCAGTGAAGTTAGAGAATTTGAATTTCAAAGATTAGAAAAAAATACTATGCTGAGTCCCAGAGGTTTTTAACACATGCTAATCAGTGATTTAGATAATTGGGCTCCTTGGGCATCTAGAATCACCTTCTGTAAGTGTTAAGCTGTGACAAAAACAATACTCCTTTCTGTAGTCTGATATTGCCCAGCTCCAAAATCACAGAAAATATTAGCATGCAATGTGTCGAGTTAGCCACTTTAAAAAAAGTACTGCAAGTCTTAAACCTCTAAGTAACTGGGTTGTGTTTTATTTTTATGACTTCGTGTTTTCTGAGACTCGCTAATCAAGCTGGGTGGATATTCCTGCAATACAGCTGGAAAAGGTCAAAAAAGGAAACTCTCTTCCTTCTGATGATGCCTTGGGGGTTGTCACAAGGGCCTAGGTTATTGGGATCTTCTGTTTTACTGGCCAGTGAGATGGCAGTGACTTTAGGAAAGAACCAGCTTGCACAGAAGATGACCTTGCCTGCCCGAGAACCAGCTTCCTGCTCAGCCCATAACTTTGGCCTGCCAGCCGAGGGCGAGATCAGTTCTGCCTCTGTTTCCGTCCACAACTTTCTGAAATGCCTTCTGAAATGTCTTGAGTTCAAAATTATGTTTGATGTCCATTTTACCCTGAATTTTCTTGGGTGCAAACGCCTTGGTGAACAGAGTAGAGTTTAACCTTGACCCTCCACACCCCATGGGTTGGTCCTGACCTTGAGCAGGCTGCTTGAGTTAGCTTATCTTCTCTTAGGTGCCTGACTCCTGATGCAGAAGCCCGGCCAGATATTGTAGAAGTCAGCTCCATGATATCGGATGTCATGATGAAGTATTTAGACAGCTTGTCTACATCCCAGCTGGCCTTGGAGAAAAAGCTGGAACGGGAACGAAGGCGCACACAGAGGTATTTTATGGAAGCCAATCGGAACGCTGTCACATGTCACCATGAGCTGGCTCTGCTATCACATGTAAGTGTGAGTCTTTCCACCTCATCACGATGCACTTGAACAGGCTGTCTGAAGTTTTTCATGCTTGTCTTAAGAATAATTCATCTTAGGCTAAGAAAACATTAATTACTCCGTGCAGTATTTCGGAATTATATAATTACATATTTACATCCATTTTCATATTTCAAAATTAAAATGTCAGTATGATGGAGATTCTAAAGAACTGACCCATAATTTATTGTATATTACAAATCTCTAGTTTGCAAGCAGAAAGATCACTTAGTAATTCTTTAAGTTTGCATCATGGTCTTCTCATAAATAGCAGTGAATGCTTAAATTCGATTTCTTCGGCAATCTGATGTCACCTTTTGGGAATATGGAGGAAAGTGTTGCATGTTAATTTGGAGAAAGAAACAATATCAGCCCTACATGTTGTCCTTATTAATCTGTATAACTGCTTTTCTGACTGCTTATGGTAATAATGTGCTGTGATGCAGATTAGAAATATCTGCTTTTACTTTTCTTGCCAATAACCTTTCAATTATTTTGATATTTATGTTTATTTGTTAGCATAGCTTGAAAAAGGGATGCCAGTGCTACACATTTCCACATGTGAGTGATTCCAGTGATGTGCCTGTTGCTGTTTCTTATTTTCTTTCCTCTACACCTTTGTTATATCCTGATCCATAATCCATCCTCAAGCAGGGATCTAGTAAGGGGTCCTTCCTCCCCCTCTTGGGGTGAAACGAGAATAATAGGGTCATGACACCCATTTGTGAACAGGGTAACTGGTCATTAAATTCCTTTCCAGGATGCTAAGGACTTGCTTGCTTTAGTTGGACAAATTATAGTTAATCTCAAAAAAGAGGCAGCTCTGATTTCTTGAATAACAGCATTTTCCACAAACTCATTTTTAAAAAAACTTGAAAGAAAGAGCTACTTTTTGGTCAATTTGTATTGACGTATGTGGAATCTTGAAGTTGAGGATTCAATATAATTTTACTTTTGGGGGGAAACTCTTTCACAACTTCATGGCCTTGTTGCTGAGCCCAGGGTCTATTTCATAGACCCGTTCTGGTGGTCATCTCAGAGCTCTGTGTGTAGGAACAGATAACTTGGGTAGATAGTTCTTGCCGAACACAGTTAAAGCTCACAGGCACGGATTTAACTTTGCTTGTGATTTTTGCTACCGGGCTGTAAATACCAGGCAACAATGAGAAACACATTATCCTGTGGTTGTCATGTTGTATTCATACTATCCCAATGCAAAAGACCTAGCTATTTAGCTCTAATATTTGGGGCCTTCTGTTAGATTCTGCACTGCAAAGCTTCTTAACCAGTATCCAGTTGGATATGAGAACTGGTTTATGTTAGACTGATGCAGCTGATGTGGGAGTGGGTGGAGTCAGCTTGTAAATCTAATAGCAGAAGACTGCTCATCATTAGCTGAGCACGTTAGAAAAGGACTATTTTATCTATTTTTACTTCTCAACTTTTTAAAAATAAACCCCTTTGTTTATTTCCTACATTTAGTAAAGAGAATGATGCTCTACCAATCCCTGAGTTTCAACAATTTGCTACTTGGGACCAATCATATATCATCTCTATGTCCCCCACTCCTATAGCTTCTCCCTGCCATCGATCCTCAGATTATTTTAAAGCAAAATTAAGACAAGATACCATTTCATCCATCACTAGTTCAATAAGCATTTGGAAGGACATTTTAACTGTAGAAATCTAGTGATGAAGCCATGACCATATAAAACAAATGGAGGCAGTTTTGAGGAATCAGAGGTTTTTCACTCACCTGTAAAATAAGGGAAAGAATCATCTACTGTCAAGGGTTCTAAGATTAAATAGGTATATGTGTGAGTCTACTGTACAAATTAAACAGTGGTTGTGTAAAATTGTAAGATAGCGATAGCATCAATTATATAAATGAGCGATGGTTATGTTAGAATAGTTGTTGATACAACTTGTTAACCAGTTGATACAACTTGTTACTAATTGGCTCATTAGTACTAAATCTCTGTATGTGATTCATGCAGTTAATAAATGTATAATAAATAAATAAAAGCACCGGGCATTAGCCAGCCTCAGAATCCTTATGGAGCATTCAGTTTTGTATGGACAGAGAGATGTGCTTTTTTCAAAACAAAGTTTTAAAGAGCCATAGGCATACTGATAATTTTCATTTCAAGAATATACAAATGTTCTTCTTTGTGCAATGTATGCATTTTCATTTTGGTTATATTCCCCATACAATAGCACCCCCCCCCTTATTTTGACTCTAGTTCTAACCAAAATGAAAATGCATACACTGTACAAAGATGAAAAATGATGTAAGAATTATATAAAATAAAATATTGAAAAAAAAATAAACAAATGTTAATTAAAAGGAAAAAATGCAGCTTTGGTTTAGAATTGAGAAGGAAATATGATTACATTTCATCAAAAGACAACATGCGGTTAATTGGCGTTAACCTGAACTGGGACCAATTGCTATTTTAAAAAATCTATATCTAACCTATTGCTGACAGAAAAATCATAGGTATAAAATTTTATGTCTTTTATCTCTTAAGCAGTATTATGGTATTATGATAGTTTCATTTCAAATATAGAGGAATGTTCTCCCAGAACAGTTAATACCAATAACACAGTTACCTGGCCCAGTGATAAATAATAGCCAAAGAAAGAGAAATAAGTGGGTTCAGTAGAACATGATGGATTCTCAACATTGATAAAGAGATCCATTGTGAATTACTGAAATTTTTCAAATTAGTAGGTAAGCAAACAATTGATAAGCAATATTTAAAGGATCCTATCTCTTGGGGGGCATGCTATTTTCTTTCATATTTTAGTTTATTCATAATTATAGCAATTTTCATAAAAGGCTAGTGAAGACAAATGTTAGTATTTATTTCATAACACCAGAGAAATCATCACTAATAAAATTCACACCTGTGTCTTGTTTTATACTCCACAAAGGTGAAGCAAGACTTTCCTTTTGAAGAAAGTGAAATTTTCTGTTATTATCATTCAAAATAAGAGATCATAAGTAGAGTACAGAGTTAAGATGGTAAAAACCCAGATGAGGACAATAAGGTGCAATGTTTAAGTTAAAGTATAACAAGAGCAGTGATATTGCAATGTAGAGGGCATTGTGACATTGAAATAGTTAAGGCAGGGCCTCCCAGGTGGCTCAGCGGTTGAGCGCTGGGTTGTGAAACTGCCCGCAGCCTCTGTAGCGCCAGTTTGATCCCCGGCCACGGGCGAGGGTTCCACATGGCATGCAGACCTCTCCTGCCGCCCGCTGCTCCCCTCAGCAGTGTATTTCTTCGTCAGTCTGCCTGTCTGCTCCCCACTCTGGCCCTGGGGAATTCTGTCACCCTCCTGCGCTTCTGACTGTACCCAGTGCTTGTATAAATAAATAAAAATAAATCTTAAAAAAAAAAAAGAAATATTTAAGGCAGGGTCACTGCTTTGACACTGTCTGCATGCTGTAAACACAGATACCCTTTATCTCTTGTTCCTCAGCCAGAAAAGTTAGGTACAGACATTCCTAAAGTGTGTGCTGCTTAGAGCTTCACCAACGAATACAAGGTTTAGGGTTAAAAGAAATACAGCATGGAGAAATCTGAAGAATCAATGGAAAACTCCAATTACATTCAGATTATTAGAAATTTTTGTGACTCTTGCTTAAAGTGCATTGAAGCACGGGCGAAGAAAGCATATTCCTTATGTGCAAATGAAGCACAGTTGAATGTTCCTGGGAGACTGAAGAGTAATAAGAGAAATATGGTTTTACAGTGTGAGATTTGCCGGCATTTATTCGTTCTCTTCCACGCTATTTGATGGGAACTCTGTCTTCACCATTCATTTTAAAGCTTCATGATGATTTCTTTTTACTAGTTTAGTAAGCGTGCTTCATCTTGGAGAGCTACTGTCATATCCACAAGCTTATCAGGGGAACATCACAGAGAGAAAAATGGAAAATTCTCGCAGTCTGTAATTTGTAATGAAAAAATCAACAATTTGTTGAAAGTCTTCTGAATGCAGAGCATTGTTTTTGATATTGCAAAAGTTATAAAAATTTATATATAGTGGTCTGAGTCCTGAAAAAACATATTTACTTGGAAAGTCAAGACATGTATATGGCAGGAATTTTGGATAAATATCAAATAGCTATGTGGGTGATAGTTCAGGAGGCTCCTGGAGCAAACACATAAGATTAGGTCTTGAAAACTAGGCAAGGAAGTCACTCCTGGATAGAAAAGAATAGCAAAAGTTCAGAAACTCCAGATCTACCAGCTTAACTCACTTAGGACTGAGAATCATATTTAGAAATGGAAAAGTTAAGAGACTTTTCCAAGGATACTGTTAGGTCTTCTGGTTTATAATGCATATCCATTTTATAGATTTAATTTTCCCAAAATAATAATTGATAAGTAACATTGTATTAATTGAAGTATATGACATAATGATTTGATATATGTATATATTACAAAATGATCACCACAATAGGTTAATATCCATCAACTCATATAGTTAAATTTTTTTTTCTCATGATGGCAACTTTTTCTGATTTACTCTCTTAGCAACTTTCAAAAGTACAATAGAACATTATTAATTATAGTCCAGGGCAGTTCTACCGAACATGAGTAAGCAGAACCAGTAGGAGATGCACATTTGAAATGTGTTACAACTAATTCAAAAGGAAATCTGCACTCCTGTGTTTATTGCAGCACTATTTACAATAGCCACAATATGGAAACAACTCAAATGCCCTCAGAATAGATGGATGGATCAAAATGTTGTTTATTTACACAATGGAATATTACTCAGCAATCAAAAAAGATAAACTCATGCCATTTGCAGCAACTTGGTATGAGCTGGAAGGGATTATGCTCAGTGAAATAAGCCAGACAGAAAAAGAAAAATATTGGATGGTCTCACGTATATGTGGAATATAGAGGAACCAAGCCAAAGGTCAGGAAAAAGTCAAAACTAGCAAGCTGACCATAGATCTGAGGCATACAGCAAAGGGGCGGTGGGAGAAGCCTCAAAACAGAGGAGGGAAGAATGTAAGGAATATGGTGATGGTTCATGGGTAGATATGTTGGCAGGAGAACTATGGGGACTGAAATGATATAAGGAAAAAATTAATAAAAATAATAAAACAAATAAATAAACAGTAAAAATTGAAAAGAAACATGTTGTGAGGGATTGGCGAATATGAGTTTAGGGGTGGATTTGGCAAGTCCAGATCTATAGGGCAGGCTGGCACTCTTGGGCATGGGCTGCTGTCCAAAAGTGTAATTTTCTTTTCATCCCAGAGAAGCCTGCTTTGAGGACCTTCAACTGATTGGACCCATCCCACCCAGATTATCTAGGGTCACTTTCCTCCCTTAGCCATTCTCTATGTGCCTACCAAAACTGCCCTTTAAAATGTCACCTGTGGGCCTCCCTTGGTGGTGCAGGCAGTTGAGGGCCGCGCTGTGAAGCTGTCTGCAGCCTCTGCAGCACCGGTTCTATCCCGCCGGCTGGCGAGTGTCCCACATGGCACGGCGAGGGTCTCCTGTCTCACCTGCTGCTCCCCTCAGCAGTGTATTGCATCAGTCTGCCTGTTCTGTTCCCTGCTCTGTCTCTGGTGAATCTTCTCACCCTCCCCCACATCTGGCCTGTACCCTGCTCTTGTAGAAATAAATAAATCTTTAAAAAAATTAAAATAAAAATAATAAATAAAATGTCACCTGTAATCTTGATACATTTTACCCCATGCTTAAGATGCAGAGTAAATGTTCATATAGCACATCGTGGAAATTTGCTCTAAGCTTCTGGTGAATAAAAAAAGAAGGATTTCTATAATAACCTAATATCCAACTATTGAAATAAGGCACACTTAGTTATCTGAAATTCCATCTACTTTGGGGACAAGACAGTAGTAGGACACCCGATCAGCAAAGACTGTTTTATAAATTCACAATTTCTTTATTGTGTAATTTTACTGTAGTTTCCTAATGCAATCTGCATATAGTTTCAGAAGACTATTGATATTTGATATTTTTTTTTATTTCTCAAATATCTTTCAAGTTGGCCATTTAAGCATGGCACAGTGATGCAAATACCTAATTCCTATTTTCTTCATGCTGATTTTTAAAAAATATTGTGCTATTTATTTATCTGAGTTGTGCTATTTTTATTATACCATATGTCATTTGCAACTGCTGAGCATGCTACTAAGGCGTGTGTCTGCAATCCACTGCTAAGAGATTAAATTAAGCCATGTAGAAAATGATGTATTTTAAAATGGCAGCATTTTGGGGAAACATCTTTGCTTTTATTGTCTGGTTAATTGTTGGCTGAATTTCCCTCAAGGCTTTAAAAATGCAACAAGTAATGATGCAGTGAAAGAAGTATCAGGAAAAATCATGCCATGTGTTTGTTTCTATTCTCATTGTAGTTTAAGAAAATAAAGGGGTGACTGAGAGGCCCCCACACAGATACATACACAATTCACACATCATCCAGCAACCCTTTCTTATATGCAATAAAATATACAAACTTTAAATGCTTAGTTCAAGGACTTTTGACATCTGTATAACTCTCACCCAAAACAAGATTCAGAACATTTTTATCATGTCAGAAAGTTCCTCCTATGCCTTCCTATACAACTCCCTGCCCGTTGGCAGGATTGTTATACTTTCTGTCCTATAAAAGATTTTTGCCTATGATTTGACTTTTATAAATCAAATAGTTTCTGCTCTTTTGGCTTCTGTCACTTAATATAATATCTGTGAGTTTCATCCATGCTGTTATGTATAGGAGTAATTTGTTTATATTACTCTATAATATTGTGTGAATATATCATAATGTTTATTCTCCTATTGATGAATTCTTACATTATTTCCAGATTGGGGTTTTATAAGTAAACGACTATGAATTTTTCTTCTAAAAGTCTCCTTAAGAATATAGTTTAACTCTCTTAGGTCGATACTTAGGGGTAGAATTTCAGGGTCATAGGTTCAACTTTAAACTACTAAACATTTAACTTTAAACTACTAAACTACTAAACATTAAACTACTAAACATTTCTCCAAAATTATATTATTTAACACTTTCAGGAGCTAGGTATGAGAGTTCTAATCTGTCCACATTCTTGCCAACATTTGGTATTGTCAGTCTTTTTAATTTTAGCCTTTGTAGTGAGTACAAAAGACTGTCTCTGTTATTTTTTTTTAAAAATTTATTTATTTATGCATACAAGACCTGGGGTACAGGCCAGAGGTGTGGGGGAGGGGTGAGAAGATTCACCAGAGACAGAGTGGGGAACAGAACAGGCAGACTGACCGAAGTACACTGTTGAGGGGAGCAGTGGGCGAATCAGGAGAGGTCTGCTGCGCCATGTGGGCTGCTCCTGCCTGGCCGGGAATTGAACTCATGCTGCAGTGGCTGCAATAGCTTTATCGGTTATGTCTTAACCCTTGCACTACCAGGGAGGCCCCATTCTTTGTGATTTTAATTTATATTTTTCTGATAACCAATGATGCTGAGTATTTTACATGTGCTTTATTGGCCATTTATGTATCTTTTTGTGTGTTTGTGGAAAACTATTTTGTGCATGTGTGTGTTGGTTTAAAACTTTTGTCAATGATCTCATTGGATTGTTTTTCTGTTTTTGTTGATCTATTGGAATTCTTTAAATATTCCAGATAGAAATCTGTTTTCAATAACTTAACTATTTTTATTGACGTTTTTTGCTGTTGTTGTTGAGCCAAAAATATTTTGTTAAAGTTCAGTTTTATTTTAGTTTTGTTAGTTTTTTTTTTTTTAATAAATTTTATTGTTATATTCCCATACAATGCAGCCCCCCCATTCTGACCCAATCCCTCCCCTCCCACACACCGCCCCCTAAAAGTGTCTCTGGTTCATAGTTTTTTTTGTGATTTTGATTTCACTTTCTTATAGTTATTCATTTTCCTGGTCCTTATTTAAGTTTCTAGATTCCTGCTATGAGTGAGACCATCCGGTATTTTTCTTTTTCTTTTGGCTTATTTCGCTGAGCATGATCCCTTCCAGTGCCATCCATGTTGCTGCAAATTGCATGTGTTTATCTTTTTTGAATGCTGAGTAATATTCCATGGTATATATGTACCACATCTTCTTGATCCAGTCATCTATTTTTGGGCATTTGGGTTGTTTCCAAAGCTTAGCTATTGTAACAGTGCTGCTATAAACATAGGGGTGCAGGTGTCTTTGGAATTGATGTTTCTGTGTCCTTTGGGTAAATACCTAGGAGTGGGAATTGCTGGATCATATGGAAGCTCTATGTTTAGTAGGTCCAGAAATCTCCATACAGCTTTCCACAGTGGTTGGACCAGTTTGCACTCCCCAACAGTGCAGAAGAGTTCCTTTTTCTCCACACCCTCGCCAACATTTGTTTGTTGCTAGTTTTTTTAATATGTGCCATTCTCACTGGTGTAAGATGGTATCTCATGGTAGTTTTGATTTGCATTTCCCTGATGACAAGTGATGTTGAACATTTTTTCATATGCCTGTTGGCCATTTGCATTTCCTCTTCA